TTCCTTCCTTCCTTCCTTCCTTCCTTCCTTCCTTCCTTCCTTCCTTCCTCCTTCCTTTTCCTTCCTTCCTTCCTTCCTTCCTTCCTTCCTCCTTCCTTTTCCTTCCTTCCTTCCTTCCTTCCTTCCTTCCTTCCTTCCTTCCATCCATGGTGTGCAGTGGGTAGAATGCAGCATTGCAGACTAAGTCTGCCCACTGCCAGGAGTTCAATCAACCTTCCAGCCTTCCAAGGTCGGTAAAATGAGGACCCAAATTGTTGGGGGAAAGATGCTATGTAAACTGCTTTGAAAGGGCTGTAAAGCACTGTAAAGCGGGATGTAAGTCTAAGGGCTATTGTTATTGCTATAAATAATGCTCTTTCCACCTATTTTCCCCACAACCACAACTCCATGAGTTGAATTGGATTGAGAAAGGCTGGTCCAAAGTCACCGAGCCAGCTTGATGACTAAGGCGAGACTACAACTCACAGTCTCCCGGTTTCCAAGCCAGCACTTTAACCACTACATCAAACTGGCTGTACCTCTGTTCCTAAAGCTTTACAATAAAAGTAGTCTTGACTTGATAAATTGGATTTCAAGTCTGGCCTAACTTTAAGAGCTGACAAATGGTGAGACACGCCAAGCGAAAACAGAATACATTGATGAATAATCTGTCCAACATGACACTATATTTTCCTCCCAGACTTGAATTCTTGGTGGGAGAGATGCTAAGGACAGCCTAGATTTTTTTAAAAAGAAAAAATGTGTTGATGTAAAAACTGAATAAAGATCCAAGAGCCCATTATGTCAACAGCCATCTGAAAAGGTTTCTATTATCAATGCTGGAAATATTTTTGTTCTTACTATGTTGTTTTTAAAACATCTTACTCAAGAGCCACTAACCACCCTAAAAGATGCCTACTATGATGTGACTCTGAAACCTTTGGATGAAGTTTGGCAGCAGAAGACCGATGCGTATCTAAAGAAACTTCAGGCACTGGTGCCGACGGTTGTGAAAGACGTGTGGCTGATGGAACCTATCCAGGTTGCATTGAGAGCTCTCAAAACTGGCTTTGATATGGTTGGTATTGTATATTTTCTCTTGTACACAGTTCCTGGTAGGACTTTTCTTTTTTTAATAAACTTTATTGAATTTTTATTACATTAAAAACATAAAAATATATCACTCAATAACAGCTATTTGTGGTGCTTATCATATAACAATCATTTGTGCAATATTTACAGATATTAATTTGTGCATAATTATATTCTTATTCTATCTATATTCTATATTTAATAATTACCTATCCTTAATCTGTCTCCAATCTACCCAGCTATACCATTGTTTCCATACCTTATAAAATATTGAAGTTTCCTTATCTTTTAAACTCAGCGTTAGTTTATCCATTTCAGCACAATTCATAACTTTTTGTATAACCAGTTCCTCTACAGGTGTATATGGCTGTTTCCAACATTGGGCAAAGGTGATCCTGGCAGCAGTCAATATGTGTAATAATAAGTATTTTGTGGTCTTTGCGTATTTTTGTTTGAAGTTCCCCAATAGGAAGAATTCTGGTTCTATGTCTAATTGTTCATTGGTAATTTCCTGTAGCCAATTTTTGATTTTAAGCCAGTATTTTCGAGCCTCTGGGCAGGACCACTACGTATGATAATATGTTCCCTCTTTTTTTTCACATCTCCAACATATAGGGGTATGACTTTTCTTAACAGGCTGCATGGATGTTGCTTTCATTCCCCCAATGAGAACACTGAGGCTGCTGTTATAAAAATAAAAGAGGAACACAGACAATCCACAAGCAATAAATCTTACTTTAAGATCAGAGGTTTATTTCATTGGCAATTTGGAACACAAAAAGCCATCATTACATTACTTATATCAATAACCCATTGCAATGAGGTCCAGAGACAGTAGCTAACATCCAAAAGGACAGCTACTATCAGTGGCCATAATTTGAGATTTTCCCCCTTCTTTTATACCTTCTTCTTCTGAAGCCAACCCAGTGGTGTGTAATCTTACTGGATGTACTTCCCTCATACTGTCCATCAATGAACACCCACTTGTAGGTATATATGCCAGTTCGCTTACAATCTGCTACTTTCAGTTCACTTTTTTCTCAGAGTCCCAGATATTCTTGATCCAAAATAGCTCTGATTGTCTTGCAATTATGTGTTTTTGCAAAGTGGCAGATTGCAAACATTTTGCTATGCCTGCAAAATAAGCTCAGACTACGCTTTAATATATTGTTAATTTGAGGCGTTCAACCAGACAGAGCTTTAAAGCCTACTTGTCCATACTCCCATGTGCTTGTTGGTAGGATCTTGTGAGTAAAATCTCCCACTTCCTGTTATATATGGCTTTCCACAAATAAAATGAAACCAGTTTCCTGACGGCTGTTTTACTTGTAAACCATGGAGAGTTGCACGACTGCGCTGAATTAAAAAAATATAATGTGTAAATAAGTATATGTTCATTTGACATTTAATGCTTCTGTTTTAATAATAAAATCTAAAGGTGATTATTATTTCATCGTGATAACAGGCAACCCAACAGATACTAAACTGGGCAGAAGCCAAATTATCCCGAATATTCAGCAGGCTCCAAAAATCTATATCGAATCTGTACAGATTCTCACCCAGGTAGCATACACTTTTTGTTCTTTTATGACTTCTTGTTACATGGCCGTCTCGTCCTTTATTTCTCCCTCCAGTTGTGTCTCAACTGTGGTTGTATGTCTAGGACTACCTTCACTTTACTCTAACAGATAGTCCTCAACTTACTGTTCAACCATTTATTTAGCAACCATTCGAAGTTACAACAGTACTGAAAAAAGGGACTTATGGCTGTTTTTCATGCTTACGGCCATTGCCGCATCCCCACAGTCACGTGATGAAAATTCAGACACTTGGTAACTGGCTCATGTGATGCCCTTTGGCAACTTTCTGACGAGCAAAGTCAAGAGGGAAGCCGGATTTACTTTAAAAACCATTTTACTGATTTGACAACTGCAGGGATTGACTTAAAACTGCAGCAAGAAAGGGAAAAAATGGGGGGAAATTCACTTAACAACCGTCTTGCTTAGTAACAGAATTAAGGGTTCAATTGCGGTGGCTAAGATGCTGAGCTTGTCGATCAGAAAAGGTCGGCAGTTGGGCGGTTCGAATCCCTAGCGGCATGTGACGGAGCGAGCTCCCGTTACTTGTCCCAGCTTCTGCCAACCGCGCAGTTCGAAAGCAGGTAAAAAATGCAAGTAGAAAAATAGGGACCCCTTTGGTGGGAAGAAGGGAACAGTGTGTTCCGTGTGCCTTTGAAGGCATTTAGTTCTGCAGGCCACATGACCACGGAGACGTCTTCGGACACGCTGGCTCTTTGTAAGGGAGACAAGCACCGCCCCCTAGATCCAGAAACTACTAGCACAGATGTGCGAGGGGAACTCTTTACCTTTACTGTGGTTCTATGTTGAGTTCTGCAGGTTCTTGAGTTTTATGGATGCACAATCATGCCATTGGAATTTGGAAGCTTGGCAATTGGCTCCTATTTATGACGGTCACACAGTGATCATGGGATCACTGTTCGCGACCTTCTGACATGAGAAATCAAGGGGGAATCCGGGTTAACTTTACAATCGCGTTACTAATTTAACAACTGTGGCAAGAAAGGTCGTAAAATGGAGCCAAGCTCACTTAAGAACTGCCTCGCTTAGCCACAGAATTATGGGCTCTGTTGTGGTTGTAAGTCAAGGACTACTTATCATGAGTTTTTGCAAGATCTTGAGTTTTATGGATGCACTTCCAAAGCTGCTTTAAATCAATAAGTCGTCCGTGTCGATGCCTTGCAGGAACTGTTCTGTGGCATTGAGTTTGCCTGTTGTGCCCAAAGGAGGAGCCACATTAGATATGATCCAACTTACAGACCACATCATTGAAGAGAAAGTTGTGAAGCCCCTTCGGGGCCTCTATCACATCAATCTGGCTGCAGAATACTACAGATTCAAGCGAGCCATCATGGAGAGCCCTTTTGAACGTAAGTTCTTGGAGGCACTTTTCATTTTGATCCCTCCGCTTCTTTTACAGCTCTTGAAAGATGAGGAGGAGGGATCCAGCGTTGGTTGGTTGGTTTGTGTCAACGTTCCAAGTAACAACCTCCAAATTAAAAGACTCCCGAAGACTGTCGTCTTCTCAAAGATCCATTGTATTAGAGATGTCGTATTGGCATATCTGAGGAAATCCCAAACCTGAGATTTCTGGGGGGGTTTCCTCAGCCCAAAGAGAATCCAAAATCCAGCCCTTGCACCCAATAGTCCATCACATGGCCCAATCATCATCTCGTACCAACTGGAGGCTATCCCTAGTCACTCCCCTCCAGGTGCAGAGCAACATGTCCTTGACTCTCTGAGAAAGGAATGTTGTTGTGGCTAATTTTCCATCACTCCTTGAAGTCCCCGTCCCAAATTCCTAGGCATTAAATGTGGCAGCCCAGAAGCCTCCAAGAATAATGGCTTCCAAGCTGACAGTTTGTTTGCTTGCTTGTTTGTTTGTAACATAGTGGTTGTGTGTTTCCCCCCAATGAAGAGGTCTTCCTCCCCACAATGGGCCCTACAAGACCAATAAGTAATTCAGGGGTGTCCAACCTTGGCTACTTTAAGGCCTACAGACTTCCTATTCTGGGAGTTGAGGTCCACAGGTCTTAAAATGGCCAAGATTGGACACCCCTGCTCTAAATTATAAACTCTTCCATTCCATAGTTGAGGGATGAGGGCAGCTAGATGGCTTCTAGACAACGAAGACTTGTCTGAAAGACTGTTCGGGTAGAATCTTATTTCAATGCCATGTTCCAGAATAATATTAAGGTTTAGTTGGGGTGGCCCAAAGTCTGAATTTTTTCTGACAAAACAGCCATGCTGACTGGGGAATTCTGAGAGTCAAAGTCCGCAGGTCTTAAAATGGCCAAGATTGGACACGCCTGCAGTAACTGCATGATGTTATGTTTGGACTCCATCCAGATCAAGCCTTGTTGATGGGTACCAAGCACCTATGGACATTCGATGGGAAAGTGTACAGCTTGACCTCCAACTGCAGTTTGCTGCTGGCCAAAGATTTTTCCCAGGATGCCTTTACTGTCATCCTAAACCAGAGCAGTGGTGCAGACAGGTCTCTATACGTCAACATGAAGAAAAGAGTTGCCATCATTTACCCCGCACTGAAGGTAAAAATGGGAATTTCAGTTAAAGTTTTAGCTGTTATCAATCCAGACAAAACCAAAATGTATGGAGGGAGATGCTAAGGTTAATTAATGGTGCATCCAAGCTCCCCCCCCGCCCCCATTTTTTTGCTATTTACAATCAGGTGATAGGTATGTCAACGATCCATCCTTCCCCATTTTGGATAATAGCATAACAACAAATCCCAAGGCACTAAACCAAGAATTTGGGTTCATAGAATGTAGAACAACAGGGTTGGAAGCAGAGGTGGGATTCAAAAAAATTTTTTTACTACCTGTTCTGTTTGGTGGGCGTGGCTTGGTGGGCGTGGCAGGGGAAGGGTATACTGCAAAATCCCCATTCCCTCCCCACCCCGCTAACCTGCTTTCTAGCTCCGTTCTCCTGTGCAGGGCAACCAAAGAAGACCCAGACAATCAGCTGGGACTTGGGAGGCAGAGAATAGATGGGGGCTGGGTCAGTCAGAGGTGGGATTTTCTGGTTCTCCGAACTACTCAAAATTTCCACTACTGGTTCTCCAAAACTGGTCAGAACCTGCTGAATACCATCTCTGGTTGGAAGGGACCTTGGAAGTCTTCTAGTCCAACCCCGTTTGAGCAGGAGACTCCATTTTGGACAATTGGCTATCCAATCTCATCTTGGAAACCTCCCAGTAATGGAGCACCCACAGCTTCTATAGGCAAGGCATCCCATTAATCTGTTGATTAGTTGTTCTCCCAATTTCTCCTTAGTTCTAGGTTGGATCACCTAAATCAACCCTAGATTGAGTTCAGTTTAGGTTGGGAAAGAGACTCTAGCTACATACTCAGCTCTGATTTAAGAGTAACCTAAATCATCCACATATTTCTACTGGCTTGCATTTACCCTCTTGTAAGCAATCTTCCCAACCTGGATTTTTTTTAAAAAAAAACCAACAACTTGTTTTCAAATAGATCTACAAGCAATACAACACTTCGCTGTTGAAGGACTGCGGTAGTTTTGACGTCCCCCTCCAAGAAAATGGCACCACAGTCCAGGTGGATACAAACCAGGTTGAAATGACTGCAGCCGACGGAGCCTTGGTTTTTTGCGACCTTCGTTACGATTTCTGTACTTTTACCTTGGATGGATGGCATCATGGTTTGTACAAAGCATTCAGATGTGACCAAAGTATTCACTTTAAGAATGAATGAACGTTCTTTAATGGAGCATTAAAATAAGATAGAAGTATGGGGCATTCTCCGATTCTGTCAAAGCTGCCTTTGTAATCTGCGTGGTATTCAGAGTTTTGCAGTGTTAATTCAGCTCCAGAAAAAATAAACACAGATGCTGGTGCTTCATTTAACATCTTTATAAACATAATAAGTAGATTTTACAAACCGGTTGTAGATTTCTCCAACATGGAGCAAACTCAGACAGAAACATGTTGCAAATAACTTCAGTAGCAACTCAGGAGCCTAGAAACCCACATCAGTTTCACTTTCAGCAGGCAAGCAAGTTAGTTTCATCTTCAATAGACAGACTCAGAGCTTAACATAGCTGCAGAGCTGCAGAGCTTAATATAACTTAATATTACAATGACCTCATTGATGACCCTTCCTCTGTCAAGGACCTAGGAGTACTCATATCTAATGACCTAAGTGCCAGAGCTCACTGTAACAGCATTGCCAAAAAGGCATTAAGAATTGTAAATCTAATCTTACGAAGCTTCTCCTCTGGAAATATTGAATTGCTAACTAGGGCATACAAAACTTTTGCTAGACCAATACTCGAATACAGCTCATCTGTCTGGAATCCGCACTGAATATCGGACATTAATACAATCGAGCGAGTCCAGAAGTATTTTATGAGACGAGTACTACATTCCTCTGCTCGCAATAGAATATCCTACACCACCAGGCTTGAGATTTTGGGCTTGGAAAATCCTGAATTACGCCACATCCAGTTGGACTTCAGCGTAGTACACAAAATTATCTGCTACAATGTCCTACCAGTCAATGACCACTTCAGCTTCAACCGCAACAATACAAGAGCAACACAACAGATACAAACTCAATGTTAACCGCTCCAAACTTGATCACAGAAAGCACGACTTCAGCAACAGAGTGGTCAATACCTGGAATGCATTACCTGACTCTGTTGTTACATCCTCAAACCCCCCACTCCTTTAACCTCAAACTAACCACTATTGACCCCACCCCTTTCCTAAGAGGTCTGTAAGGGGCGTGCATAAGTGCACCATCGTGCCTCCCGTCCCTGTCCTATTGTCCCCATTTAATCGTACCTATTTTCTGCATTCTTACTCAGGTTTATACTTATACCTATTATTTTGTAAGCGATTGACAAATCAAAATAAATAAATAAAATAAAATAAATAACTGTGGAGTTGCAAAGCTTAATATAGAGCCACGCTTAGGCTACTTCTTGTTTCAGTTTCCAAACTCATTGGCTGATTTAATCGCTATGCCTATTCTCCGGCTAACCTTGTTCCCATACTCAATTCCACTTCATGAATATACTCTGACGCAGGGATTCATTTTTCTTTTTCCTATTCTTTCTAGGTGTGTCCGCTGGTCTTTTTGGTACCAACGATAATGAAGCTGGAAATGAATGGATGCTTCCTGACCATTCCCTGGCTAAGAGCTTGCCAGAATTCATACAAGCATGGCAGGTATTTGGCAGAGGAAATATTGAACACAAAAGGAAAGCTGCAATAAGACAGGGCTAGGAGTACAATTGGTCAACAGTTAAAGATGTTGAAAAGCTAACCATCTGGGTTCCAGACCCAAGTGCCGCCTGATAGGGTGAGTGAATTCCCGTTATTTGTTCCAGCTCCTGCCCACCTACCAGTTCAAAAGCATGCAAGTAGATAAACAGGTACCACTTCAGTGAGAAGGCAACAGTGTTCCAATGTGCCTTTGGCATATAGCCATGCTGGCTTCATGATCATGGGAAATTAAGGGGGTCCATTGTGGTGATAAGTCAAGGACTACCTGTACTGTAAAGAAATAGTCAAGAAACAGTTGAAAGTAGCGACAAAGCAAATGTCAAGATTTGTTCCTCCATGAATGCGGATGGTGGAACTCATAAGATATGTATGAATAGCTGGTCTCTTTAAAGATGTGATATTTGCTGAATGCACAGCCATTCATTTTGGGTAAATAACCTTTGTCCTTCAAGGCGGACATAAGCTACGCAACGCAAGCTCTGAATTGTTTACACTGACAGGGGTGTGTTTGATTTTTCTCCTCCAAGGTGAACGGCCATTGCAGTGAAGTCAAGAGAGATGGCAAATCTTGCGTCAATGAGCAGAGCGCTACAATCTGCCAGATCTTTTTCCAGGATCCCGCCTCACCTTTTAGGAACTGTTTTGGAGTTGTAAGAATATATAATGCTAATGATGTACTGTATAATGGTTTAGGGATGGGATGGTAAGAAAAAATAGATTTTGCCATTGGCAGGGGGGGTTGCATTGAAAGACCTCCAAGGTCCCATCCAGCTGATTCTGTGTTGTAACCTCAGAGTAAGAGGTACGTTTATAGCTATGATTCTCACTGCTGTAAAAAAAAGGGAAGCTATTTTTTAAAAGTTCTTTTCTGTCTTTTGCACCTGTGACTTTTCTTTCCTTCCTTTCCTTCCTTCCTTCTCTTTTCTTTCTTTCTCTTCCTTCCTTTCCTTCCTTCTATTTTCTTTCTTTCTTCCTTCCTTCCCTTTTCTTTCTTTCTCTTCTTTCCTTCCCTTTCTTTCTTTCTTTCTTTCTTTCTTTCTTTCTTTCTTTCTATCTTTCTCTTCCTTCCTTCCTTCCTTCCTCCCTCCCTCCCTCCCTCCCTTCTTTCTTTCTTTCCTTCTTTCTTTCTTTCTCATTCGTTTACACAACATCTTTATGGATTCTTTTCCTGCTAAAAAAATACTTGTACTTTTCTATCATTTTTGTTTGGTCTGCATTTTATGAGCACATTCAAACAGATGTTCTTCATTAGAGTCAGACTAAAGGAGACTGCTATATTTACCCAATAAACATCTGGACATTTTTCTCTTCTTTTTCTTAAAAGGTGAATCCTGAACCCTTCTACCACTGGTGCAAAACTGACTTGTGTGAACAACAGAGCATCAAAGCAGCCTGTAACTTAGCTGCAGCTTTCAGGCATCTGTGCAATCGGAATTTCATCCCAACAGAGATGCCCCTTCAGTGTGGTAAGATGTTCCACCTCCCACCTCCAACACACCACCAAATAAATTACAGACTTTAGAACTGTTGATGTAGAACTGTCATACCTCGCCACTCAAATATGTCACATTGCAATCATTACACGTTTACAACCATTCGTTGAGCACTTTACAGCTGGCCCTCAAACTTCCGACTGTTGCAACATCCCCATGGATACATGGGCTAAAATATGGGCACTTGGCAAGCCGCATCTATTTACAACAATTGCAGTATCATGGGGTCATGTGATCAACACTTACAACCGGCTTCCAAACAGCAAAGTCAATGGGGGAAACCAGATTTGCTTAACCACACAGGCAAAAACAGTCATAAAATCAGTCGTGATTCACTTAATAACTGCCTTGCTTAGCGATGGAAATTCTAGTCACAGTTGTAGTCATAACTATGAGGATTCTCTGTACTGTAAGCTGCCTAGAGTCATGTAAAACTGACATGGGTGGCTACATAAGTCAAATGAATAACTAAATAATGACAATTTTGTTTCATTTTAGAGACGGCAAAGTGAGGCTGAGAAGAAGCTGGTTGCTTGAAGCTATGCTTGCTATAGAGGGAGGATCTTCCTACTTAAATCCCCCACCAGCCCAAGCTCAACTCTAACAAGATCATAAGCTTCATCTTACAAAATTGTCCCGTGTTGGCTTAATGAAAAGACTGGAGGAGTTGTTAAGATTAGCTTTGACTGTTGCAGTAGCCACCAACTGTTGGACCATCTGGAAGAAGTCTTCAAAATGGCTTCTCCTTGTGTTTGCTATGTTAAAGAAGATACCACTCGAAAAGTATCTGGCACTCAGCAAAGAGTTGCAGAATGTTAAAATTAGATCTCCTTGTAGACATCAGTTTAGAATAATTTTGGAGAAGATTTGTACTGGATTTTTTTTTTCCCCTGCTGCTCCTAATAACCAAATAAGATTTCAGTTATGTTCAACAGAAGTGGATATTCAGCAGGTTCTGACCAGTTCTGGAGAACCAGTAGCGGAAATTTTGAGTAGTTCGGAGAACCAGCAAATCCCATCTCTGACTGGCCCCGCCCCCATCTATTCTCCACCTCCCATTGAATCCCAGCTGATTGTCTAGGTCTTCTTTGGTTGCCCTGCATAGGAGAACGGAGCTGGAAAGCAGGTTAGTGGGGTGGGGAGGGAATGGGATTTTGCAGTAACCTTCACCCAGGAGTGGGGTGGGAATGCAGATTTTACAGTATCCTTCTCCTGCCACGCCCAACAAGCCACACCCACAGAACCAGCAGTAAAAAATTTTTGATGTTCAACCACATTTGAGATAATTAGCGTTGAACTGGAAGGGCATCGACATCTGGAATGAACTGTCAGCAACAGCTTGTTCTTTGGTAACTCCCCATTTTCAGATGATATAAAACCCTACTCTTCTGGAAACTTTTAACACCTCCCTACCACACACACACACCCACACACACACACACCCCCCACACACACAGAACATACACAAAGAAAGATGCCCTGGGGGAAAAAAATCGCTGAGGAATTTCTGACCCGCTGTAGGACTTTAGGACCAAAAGTGAAATAGTTCAATAAAAAGCAGAATTAAAATGTGAAATGGTTGCAGTTGTTTTATTGCTTATGTATTTGTATGCCTGTTTTACTTAATATTATAATGTAGGACCACACAGATTGAAAACATGCGGAAGAGGCTTTCATCCTTCAGCAGACAGACAATGGCTAAAACGATGTAATGATGAATGAAATAATCTATATATATAAAAGCGAAATACCACTCATGCATCGTCACAAAATCTCCAGAACCGTAAAGCCTACAAACTTGAAATTGGGCACGTCTGTTCCTCTTGGCTACTAGGTGCTCACGAAGAAAGGATTTTTCAAAACGACCATCAGAGCATTAATATTTCCTATATTATTATTAACACGCTCTGATGCTAAGGAGCTCTACTCCCCCTCCCCACCTGAAAAGAATTCTGTTCCAAATGCAAAACACAAGCAGAGGAGTTTCAGTTTTAGTTTCACATCAGCAACCAGCTTTAGTACAGTTGAGCTAAGCCACGCCCAGGCTCCTTGCTGTCTCGTGCACACAGTAAATACTGTTTCAGTTTCCAAACAGCCTGCAACTCTCACACACACTGACAGGATGCTAGCCAGATGAATACCGATGGATCCTGGTAGGCAGAGGCAGAATTCCCCCCACCCCTTATTTTCCTCCCCAAAAACTATGCCTGATCACAGTTTCGTAGCGAAGCACAAGTATCAAGCTTGTGTGTGTGTGTGTGTGTGTGTGTGTGTGTGTATACATGTATGTATACACATGCATATACGTATGTACATATATACATACACACATATTTATAATAGTATATAATAGTATTTATATGAATTATACATCAATACTATATATGCATATATATATATATATATTTGCATTTGTACATCTGTATGTGTACGTACAGTATATGCATGTATGCAAAAGCAAGATTAAAATTTTAATAATTTTAATTAATTTTAATAATAATAAAATTAGAGGATAAAATCACATCATCGCTTAGAACCTCATCTTCGGGAGTCCAACCCCTCCACCCCAACCCCTCTCCCCGCCCCATATTGGCTGGGAACGCTGGGACCTGGAGTCCCAAACCATTCCAGGCGTGGAAAGGCAGCCCCGCCTCAAAAAAACAGAGCCAAGGACCAAGGACCATCGAGAGCGCAGCGGCTAGACCGGGGGGGGTGTACGGCTTTCGCGACGCTTTTACGACGGCGCCTCTTTCCCCTCGGCGGCCGGAAAGCGCTGCTTGGGGAGGCGGAAGCGGAAGCGCTCGGGGAGGGGGGGAAAGGGGAGGGCGCAGCGAGAGGGAAATAAAGAAGAGGCGGCGGAGGGCGGCGGAGGGCGCTGGGATGCGACGGAGGGACGGTGGTGAGTGGCTCCTTGCCGCGCCTTCACCCACCCACCGACGGGGGCCCCAGCCCAGCCGCCGGGGTTGCAGCAGCAGGCCGGGCCAGGGTCCGGGAGGTGGGGGAGAGTCCCTATGGGGGTGTGGGAGGGGGCTTGCCCACGGAGGGGTCGCCCCTCCTGGGCTGGGGCTGGAGCCGCCACCCGGGCAGGCGAGCCCCCCGCTCGAGGAGGGAAAGGCGGCCGCGAAGGCAAGCGGGTGGGGGGTGCGGGGGGGGGGGTTCTTCCACGGAAGGGGTGGCGTTCGCTCTTGGGGACGCCTCCGCCCGCCTTGCAGCTCCGGCGAGGGGAGGCCTCGGGCTGGGTAAATGGTCGGCTCCTTAGGCGGGTCCCAAGGGTGCAATGGGCGTCCCTGTCAGGGGCTTGGAAGCAGTGGTGGCTCTGCTGCCCTGAGGGTAAACCCGGGGGCGGGGGTGGGGGGAGAAAGGGTCACGGTGTTTATTATTATTATTATTATTATTATTATTATTATTATTATTATTATTACTATTGCTATTGCTATTATTATTGCTATTATTATTGCTATTATTATTACTATTATTATTACTATTATTATTACTATTATTACTATTACTATACTATTACTATTATTTTATTATTACTACTATTACTACTTTAGTGAGATTCACAGCCTTTGGGGCTGGTTGATAGCTCAACAGCTCAAATTATTATTATATTATTTTATTATTAATAATAATATTCATTAAATGTGAAACTGAGTCAACTGAGCATTTAAAAATGTATCACAAATATCATTGACTGGTGCTGATGGTGGATAGGGGTTTATGCCAGCATCCTAGTATCAACTAAGACATTATCATTATCCATCATCATCATTGCTATATAAGATTTCATCTTCAACTAGCTGGATACCCATGCTTCGCTATGAAACTATGTGGTTGGGCTTAATTTTTAGGGAGGAAAATGCGGAGGGGGGTGGAATTCTGCCTCTGCCTCCATCGGTATTCATCTGGCTGGCGTCCTGTTGGTTTGTGAGAGAGTTGAGGGCTGTTTGGAAACTGAAGCAATATTTGCTGTGTGAGCAAGGAGACAGCAAGGAGCCTGGGTGTGGCTTAGCTCAGGTGTTCTGTACTAAAGCTGCTTGCTCCTCTGCCTGTGTTTTGCATTTGGAAGATAATTCTTTTCAGGTGGGGAGCAGGAGTAGAACTCCTTAGCATCAGAGCATGTTAATAATAATAATATAGGAAATACTAATGCTCTGATGGTCATTTCAAAAAACCCTTTCTTAGTGAGCACCTAGAAACCAAGAGGAATATACATGCCAAATTTCTCAAGTTTGTAGGCTTTATGGTTCTGGAGATTTTATGATGATGCGTGAGTGGTATTTTGCTTTTATAGATATAGATTTGATGATTCACCGTCTGGGATTTGATAAAAACTTTAACCATTCAAGTCTTAACTCAGAACCTTAAGCGTTGTTAAGGTACCGTCTGAATCTATAGGATTCTCCCTGGAAAGACACCTGTAGGTTTAGAAATGGGTGCTGGTGGCAGAAAGTGGAGAAGAAGCAATATGACAACTACTCTCCCCTGATCTGATCACCTTGGATATCAGCTGATTCAGTTTGGGGTCCACCTTTGCAGGAAAGGAAGGCACCTGAACCAGCTGATAGTAATAGTCCCAATTATTGTGAAATTGAAAGGGTCACAAGACATTTACTTCAGCCAGCCAATGAAAATCAGGAGCATTATAAAATGGTCCAAAATACATTGAAGGCAAATTAAGGATGCTGTAATAAAATTTTAGAAAGCCAACCGACACCCCAAAAGGCAGCACTCAACAAAATCGCTTCTAGGCCAAAGGCACTCCTGTTTAAGCCTGTTTTCCTCTTGTTCTATCAGTCAGACATGCTCAGTGAATCTTACCTCCCGCTACTGGTTTTTCTCTTGCCTGCACATGTGCACCAGATATACAGTTGTGTTTTATCTCTCCCAGCTCATTGTTCTCCTGATAATGTTGGCGTGTACATCCAGTATTTGTTGCTCGGAAATTCTAGACTGATAAATCGGGGGTAATTACCTAGGTTAGATGCTGGAATGGTCCGTTTCCTCTAGAAAGCATTGTCAGGAATATGTTTCCTATCTAAATGCTCTGCGTAATTTGTGACGGGTAGCAAGGGGAAGAAGGAGATAATAAGATAGGTTCCACTCTTCATATTTGATGCATTGGATTTAAATATCTGTGTGATAATTACAAAGCCCTGGTAATTCCTTTGTTTTCTGCTGCTGTTCTCATCGCTTCATATGTAATCCATAAATTGGTGGCTCAGTGGCTAAGACGCTGAGCTTGTTGATCAGAATGGTCAGTTTGGCGGTTCAAATCCCCAGCGCCTCATAAGGGAGTGAGCTCAGGTTACTTGTCCCAGCAGTTCAAAAGCACGTTAAAAATGCAAGTAGGAAAATAGGGACCCCTTTGGTGGGAAGGGAACAGTGTTCCGTGCGCCTTTGGCGTTTAGTCATGCCGGCCACATGACCACGGAGACGTCTCCGGACAGCGCTGGCTCTTTGGCTTTGTAACAGCACTGCCCCCTAGAGCTGGAAACGACTATCACGGATGTGCGAGGGGAACCTTTACCTTAAGAATATAAAGTATTGTGCTCTACTTCTCTTAATTTCAAAAGATTCCAGGTCTAAAGAGAGCACCCATCAAACTGATTTCCCAGGGGTGGGGAGTGGGGGGCTTAGCTGGACCACATGGCTTCACCTGAGTGCTGGCTGATGCAATCTTCCCAGGCCAGGTGGTGAGATGGGTAGAGGCCCTTGTTATGTAGAATACTCTGGTCTTAATGGCCCACCCATTAACAAAGATGGGGTGAGGTTTTGCTCCTGAGTTTCTACTTCTCTTTTAGGGGAAACATTCTGCCTTTCTAAATATATCCTAAAGTATTTCATTTTCCTAGGAGAGGGGTGGGTGCTAACTTCCTAATAACAACAATGGAATTTTAGTCCATCTATGACCTGTCATAGAAGCTGGCTGTCTTTTCAGGTCTGTTCGTGACCTACGTGCACAATTTTTTGCGACAGGTCTTCAGTATTAAGGATTAAGATAGTGCCTAACTGGCTTGAATTGTTTTAATTGCTACTTCAAGGCCTCAGCAATGAGTTCCTTGAGAAGGTAGCTATAATCAAGGTACTTTTAATAAGCAGTTTGGAAGCACAGCGATAATGACTTAACTCCAGATTGTAAAAGCGCTCATAATCCTCTGTTGGGTAAGGAAGTCCAAAGCTGCAAGAACTGCAAATTTTCAGTGAGCATGCTCAGCTCAGCCAATGGCAAAGGACTTTGGACTTGTAATTTGGTAACATCCAGTAGGTTCTGTACGTCTGCCTGACTTTTGAAGACCAATATTTGGGGTTTTTGTTGTTGTTTAGAATTATATCCTGCCTTTTGGCTCAGCAGCTCAAGAAGCTGGTATTAAATGCGTCGGGCGTGTTGAATAAATGGGCTTGTCTTGATGGCACATAATCTGACCTTGTAAAATATGCACATTTTTTTCACAGAAGGGAAGAGAGGAGAATGTTGACTTCTGTTTGGATGTATAATGGAAGGAAATATAGCACAGAACGTCTGTCCTAGATCACTCGGATGGCTTCAGCGGCAAGATAACGATGCGAAGCCCTGGCTCTGGAAATTTTCTAACTGCTTTTCAACTCCTGAACAGAATTTTCCCCTAGCTGCAAGAACGGTAGAGTATGGACCTTAATGGGTATTAAGTGGAATACTAAATTGATATGCTAGTAGTCCTCGACTTACGCCATAAGCTACTTTATGACCTGGTTTTGAAGTGAAAGCCGTTGCAGCCTCCCCCACACGAATAACATTTGAGCAATGTTGGTGGGAAGGGGTGCACGAAGGGAGGCTCAGCCAAACTCATTGTGCGCATGTTGTACTCCTGACGATAAAGGTAATAATAAATTTCACCCCGCCCCCCCCTGTCTGTCTGTTCCTTCATCCCTCCCATCAGGGTCCCCGCAGATCTTGGGCCTGCTTCCCAGCCCCTTCTCCCCAGTTCCCTCACCAATCATACGCTTTCTATAGTCCCAAAGATAGTCCAAGAGGCAGCTGGACTTTTTGATAAGTCCAGTTGTCTCTTGAAAAAAACACCTTTGGGACAACCATGGTCTGGATGACTGAGAATCTCCATAGACCTTGAAGAAGCTCAGAAGAAGCTTCTTGGATGAGAAGTGAAACATCTTCAAAGAAAAACCAGAAAGTCCAGTTCATGCTTCTTTTAACAACCCCATAATCCCTTGCAGGGTGGAGCAACTGAGTGCAGTTGGAGTGTTTACTGGCTGGATGCCCTCCCTGTCACCAGCGCGGAGTTATATACAGCCGATGTATTCTGAGTGTGCCCGGAGAGAGAAATAAATCTGCCTCTAGCTAGGATCGAACTCGCAGCCTCCTGATTGTGAGGCGAGAGCTCCCACTCTAGGCCACTGCCCCAGAAAGTCCAGTTGACTAATTGAGCCCGGAATTGCGGTCATAAATTGTGCTGATTGTTAAGCAAGACATCACCTTGACGGTCTGATTGCGTGATAACTTTTATGGTGGTTCAACAAATCACTGTGGTGGTTTAGCGAAATCCATGGTATTTAAGCAAACCCATGGCCTACAATCATGGTGTTTTCCCAGAAACTGGAATTCTCCCCCCCCCCCCCCAAAAAAAGGATTATGGTCATGTGACTGGGATGTTGTAAACAGCTGTGGCCCTACAATCACATGACTGCAGGAAGGGCCTAGCCCTCAGAACTATGAATGCAAGTCATAAGTACACTTTTGGGTGGCATAACTTCAAATGGTCACTAAATAGCTGGTCATAAGTCAAAGACTACCTGTCTGAAATCCTGTTTGCAAATCTTCAGCAATCTAATCTGCCCTCTGTCATTCTTTTCTCTCTCCCTCTTTCTCTTTCTCGCACTCCCTCCTCCCTCCCTCCCTCCCTCTTCTCTCTCTCCCTCTAATCTCTCTCTCTCCCTCTTTTCTCACTCTCCTCCTCCCTCCTTCTCTCTCTCCCTCTTCTCTCTCCCTCCTCTCTTCCTCTTCTCTCTCTCTCTCTCTCTCTCGCCCTCCTCTCTTCTTCTACTCTCTCTCTCACCCTCCCTCCTTCTCTCTCCCCCCTCTTCTCTCTCCTTCCTTTCTCCCTCTTCTCTCTCCCTCTTCTCTCTCCCTCCCTCCCTCCCTCTTCTCTCTCTCTCCCCCTCCTCTCTCCTCCTACTCTCTCTCTCACCCTCCCTCCTTCTCTCTCTCACCCTCTTCTCTCTCTCTCCCCCTTCAGAACAAGTCCATGGAGAGCCAGAAAGCTCCTGTAGAGTTGAAGGAGGCCCCCCCAGCTCACCACCCTCTTCTGCAGCCCTTTGCAGCCGTGCCCCTCCCCGACGTCCACTCTCTCCAGCCAAAGCAAACCCAACTCCCACCCAACCCTAAAGTAAGCTGCTGTTCTCATGGCTCTGATTCCTCCCCTCGGGTCCCCCAGTTGCACTTTGGTGGTGGCGGCGGCGGCAACCTCGGTGGTGGCGGCAACAGCGGCGGCGGCGGTGTCTTGATTAACCCGGGGGCGGTCTTAAACGCTCCGGGCACTGGGACGATCCCCTGGAAGATAGGGTCAGAGTTGGCTTGTCCGTCCTCTTCTCCGCTCAAGAACGGCCCGGCGAGAAGCACCATGGCCGGCGTGTGCCGGGAGAACCCCGTCCCTTCGTGCCCTCACTTTGCCTGCTGCGGGAAATTCCACTTCCAAGCCTGTCACGGTAACCTGCACAAACTGCATCCGTTTTCCCCCCATCCGGGCTGCACGACTCCGGGCTTTTTCTCCTGTCCTGAATTCAGTGGGGCGGCGGGACTCTCGGAGGAGCACCTGGCCCAGTCGGAGCACATGCCTTGCGTTTGCACCAACTCGCTGCACCTAAAGGTCTCACCTCCCCTTTGCTTGAAGGGCTCTCACCACTGCACGGAGTGTCTGAGCAAGGTTTGTACTCCCTGTTTAATCCTGTCTTGCGATATGGGGGAAGGTTGTGTTTTGTATCAGTTTCTGTGCCAGGCCGGAGGGTGGGTCTGCGGCAATTTGCGATGGCCATCTCAACCACGGCGCTACCTGATCCAGCTCCCCCCATATATGACAAACCCTCCGAAGTGAACTCAAAAGATACCTTTGTTAGTAGTGCCGGCAGACCCGGCAAAAAAAGTTTTCTCTCTTACCTCAGGCTAAGAAGGTCCGTCTGGCCGGAAGATGGAGAGTCGTCTGCCGCATCTATTCATTTCTGTCCCCTGCCTTTTATACCCAAAGGTAGCGGCGGTGGCTCTTCTGTCCCAAGGACCGGCCCATAGATTTCCACCACTCTCCTCTCCTCTGCCTTCAGCGCATCCACACCTCAGGCACTGGGCCCAGCTATTTTTTATTTATTTATTTTAAATAATTAAACGGAGTTGTTAAATTGTCCCTCAGCAAATTGGCTGTGACGAGTTGTCCAGCGGTGAGTTGGCCACCGTGAATTGGCTGCGGCTAGTTGTGCCGTCCCATCAGACGGTTCCCCTACTCTGAGCACATCCAGGTATATGGGCTTTTCAAAATGGCTGCCCTGGGTGGGGCGAGACAAGTAGTTCTCGACTTAACGACCACAACGCAGGGAAAATTTTCTGTTACAAAGCAAGACAGTGGCCAAATGAGTTTTGCCAACCATTGTTAACTGGATCAACTTAGTTGTTTAAGTTAGGAAAACTTAACTTGTGAAGTGAATCTGGCCAGTTAGTACGAAAAACGGTTGCAAGTTACTTTTTTTTCCCCGGTGCCATTGACTTCGATCGCTAAATAGGATGTTTGTAAGTCGAGGAGTTCCTTTGCCTGTCAAAGAACTAGCCATTCCCCTGTAGGCAAGTTTCTTTTCAAAGGATACCTCTGTGGGAGCCAAAGTAAATAGAACGGCTGGCAGAGGTTGGTTCCTATGCAGTAGGGTGTGTGTGAAGGCAATTCTATGTTTTTCCTCCGCAGTCATCCCAAGAAAATTTAGTAGAAGCAGCCAAAATGTGGCCGGATATTCCTCCTCCAAACGCCCAGGTGGCGCCCCTTTCTCTCCCACTCTGTAACGGCTGTGGAACCAAAGGAACAAGGAAAGAGAAGAGCCGCCTCTTGGCCAGCAGCTTTGGCCAGCTGACCCCCAAACACGGTAAATATTCCTTTGACTTGATCCTTTTAAGGTTACCGTAGCTTTTAACTCTCCAGCTAATTCATAGTTTCTCAAAGAAAAACCAGAACATCCTCCTCTAAAGTTGGGAGTTAATCCGAGAAGTGTGGTGGTTGAAAGTGTCGGATCTTTCTCCTCCTGGACAACCCAGGCTCTCCAGAAATTGCCATTTCGAACCAGTTACTGGAAAACCTGCCTCCCATTGGGGTCTTCTGGGATATCGAGAATTGTTCCGTGCCGTCCGGTCGTTCCGCCGTGTCGGTGGTCCAGCGCATCCGGGAAAAGTTTTTTAAAGGCCACCGGGAGGCCGAGTTCATCTGTGTGTGTGACATTAGCAAGGAAAACAAGGAGGTGATTGAAGAGCTGAACAATTGCCAGGTGAGCACTCAAAAGATCCGGGGGGGGGGGGGGTGGCAGAGGAATCATCAACTCTGGACTGGCTGTGTTTAATCTTTTCTTGAAATGTAATTTTTTTTCTTCCCTCCCCGTCTTAGGTGACCGTGGTGCACATCAATGCCACAGCCAAGAATGCTGCAGACGACAAACTCCGGCAAAGCCTCAGGAGGTTTGCAGATACCCATGCCGCACCAGCCACTGTGGTGCTTGTCTCAAGTACGTATCACCGGTGCCTCGTTTGCGAGGGGGTCCTTTTCACCCGTGCTCGGATTCGAAATCCATCATCTGCTCCGTTTTAAATACAGAAGCTTTGCCACTGAACAGTTAAGACAGACAGTTTGGTTTTATTGGTTTAAAAAACCCCAGGCTAGTAACCAGGAGACAGTGAGTTCTAGTCCTGCCTTAGAATTGAAAGACGGCTGGGTAACTTTGGACCGATCACTAGGAGACTGGAAGTTCTAGTCCCGCCTCAAGCAGGAAGGCTGTCCAGGTGACTTTGGACCGATCGCTAGGAGACAGGGAGTTCTAGTCCCGCCTTAAACAGGAAGGCTGTCCAGGTGACTTTGGACCGATCACCTGGGAGCAGTAGCCTCGTCTTAGATATGAAAGCCAGCTGGGTGACTGGGCTAGTCCCTGATTCTTAGCCCAACCCACCTCAGGGTTGTTGTGGGGAAAATAAGAGGAGGAAGGGGAAATATATACTTTCACAGCCTTTCTAATAAAATAATAAAGGCAGGATGAAAATCTACTCATTGCAGTGTTATTTGTGGTTGGCATTGTGGCATATAAGAGCTGTGGTGGTGCAGTGGTTAGAGTGCAGTACTGCAGGCTACTTCTGCTGACTGCCGGCTGCCTGCAAATTTGGCAGGCTCCAGGTTGACTCAGCCTTCCATCCTTCCTAGGTGGGTAAAATGAGGACCCAGATTGCTGGGGGCAAGAGGCTGACTCTGTAAACCGTTTAGAGAGGGCTGGAAAGCGCTGGGAAACGGTAGATAAGGCTAAGTGCTATTGTGCTATGATTTGATTGCTTATTGTACCCTATGACTATTATTAAGTGTTGTACCTTATGATTCTTGAGATATGTATACTGAGAGCATTTGCACCAAGACAAATTCTTTGTGTGTCCAATCACACTTGGCCAATAAAGAATTCATTCATTCTTTCTTTCTATCTATCTATCTATCTATCTATCTATCTATCTATCTATCTATC